CTCTCTCTCTCTCTCTCTCTCTCTCTCTCTCTCTCTCTCTCCCTCCCTCCCTCCCCCTATGGGCCCTGGTCAAGGATACCGTTCTTGTCCTTCAAGACACCCATTGCAATTGGAGCGATACAGAGAAGATTAGCTAGCATGTCCCCTGGTCAAGGATGACACAAGTAAATTGGGAAATGGTCCAAAGTTAAATAAATAAATAAATAAAATTGCTGTTCTTGTTATTACGCTAAATTTCTTCTGATCCTACAAAACAAATCAGTACACATCGATCATATGTATGGATGATATGGGCCATCTGTTAGGTTATGGGGGCAGTGCCTGGACATGTCAGTAGCCCAAATCCTGAACAAAAGAGTCGTCTGCACTCTGTGGTATGGCTTCAAGGAGTTCAAGGTGAAAAGTTGAAAGCAGTGAAAAGAAGACTATCTCAATACTACATGGAGTCAATGCTCAATTCCGAATGTGTGTTTGTGCTATGGTGTTGTGTGTCTTCTTTTTTTTCCAGCATTCCTGACAACCTGCTGGCATATGTGCATTTTCTGTGCCTGCTTGTGCTTCCACTACTGCAGTTTCCACAGCTACAACGAGCTCAAACTAACAGTGGAGAGGACAGGGGATGCGGAAAGAAAAGTTAGAATGTCTATCGTGGAGACACATTCCGTAAGTGACTGCACGAAGAGAGGGTTAGGACTCACAATACTGGCACAAGTGGGAATCGAGAATGTCAGTAGTCCGATGCTGCATCTCCCGATCGAGAAACATGTGTGTGTGTGTGTGTGTGTGTGTGTGTGTGTGTGTGTGTGTGTGTGTGTGTGTGTGTGTGATTCAAAATAGTGTACAAAACAATTGTAAATTGTAATTGCGTATTTGATTTTGTTTAAAAAGTTATAAAAACACTATGAACCCAGAGAACCCCGTTTCAAACGACTGTTCAACATTCACCACCTCTGATTACGACTTCAGTCTTACCCCTTACGCGGGCGGAGCTACACGGGCTCTTCTTGTCGCTGACTTGCATTCCTCTGACCTACATGTGGATAATGTGTCTGGGCTGGTCTCTGCCTTGCTAGTGCATTGCCATTGCGTCTTCTGCCATGATTGGCGCACTGCCCTCTCTGGACAGGGCTGTGTGACTTATGTGCATGCATCTTCTTTCCTCATAAAGTCTCTGCAGCTGTAGTACTTCTTTTCCCCAAAATTGGTTGATCTTGCCCTTTATTTCACTCGGGTCACTGAGCGATCTCTAGAGAGCAGAATTGTTACGTTAACAGAATCGGTCAGTTGACGTTGATCAATACACTTCAGTCACTCAACTCATACGGACCAATCAATCCAATCATATGCAGCAGGACAATACAGTCAGATGTGTTGTGCTGACTTCTGCCTTTTCCCAAACCGCTGCTGCATCCCCACCGTTACGTGGGATGGAGACAGTGATCTTTCTCCCGCTGCGTCCACCGTGATAATGGCAACTACAGAGTTCTACTCCCTTCCTCCTTCCTCTTAGACACATCACCAGCAGTGGTTTTCTGCATCACTTCCGCTTCTGTAGCATATTTTGACCATGTGTTCTGTTTTTCGCTCCTCATTGTATCTTCTGATACTCGTCTCCCCGTTTTCCTCTTGCTTATGCTCACCTTTCTCTTGTCCCTGTCCACTTTCTCCTACTTTCCTCACCTCACCTCTCCTCCAGTTCTGAGGACGCATGATGGGAGGGTCTTGAAGATGGGCGGCTACTGACGACAATGTGATCCTATGGACGTTGCAACGTAGCTGCACAGTGGTTGTACCTGATGGCAAATAGATGATGTGGTCATGCAAATCTCTTTGGACACTCTAGATCGCCATCCCTCTTTCCTGTCACTGTCCATTCTGCTACCACATGAAAAGCCCAGTCGTGAGCTAGTTATGGTTTCTTTCCCCAACCAGTAGCTTACCAGTGTGACAGACGTCTCATATTGGATGCTGCCCCCGAAGCTGTTTACTCCGTGTTCCGCTGCTTGGCAGATCGGGTACGGGGTTTGTGGGATGACAACACCCTCTGCCTAATCTCTGGCCTCCTGGAAATGCTACTCGGGGCGCAGGTTCAAACCATGGTTACCATCCGGATGTCTGGACCTCAGTGCGGACTCTCTGGGGCTAGATGTCCGGGTCTGGGGTCCGGCTCAGAGTGTCCGGATCCATCCCCCCACCCCCACCCAAAAAAACAAATCCGGCTTGAAAAAAAAAATAAAAAAATTCTGAAGAAAGATATGTTATGCAGCATTGCAATACAAAAATCTTTTGGCTGAGGGCAATCTCCAAATCCATAGCCAAATCCAAGCGGGGGATTTCAATCCAGACGGTCTAGAGCAGTCTGGACTAGTCCGGTGTCTGATTCCGGTGTAACCATGGTGCAAACCCTGGTAGAACACTCGGTGCAAAATCTCCCAAAACACATACTGGCCAGACCAGGGTTCAAATCATGTCTATTGCATGCAGACATCAACAGCAAACATAGAGTTTACAACCAGGGGATTCAGGGATCAAACCTCAGTGATCCTAACCCTGCTGGCTGTGGCAATATGTTATGCATGTTCCTTTCTTTTCATTTTTATACGGCAGGTTGGGATGGATGACTCTTTATTGGAAAAACTTGTCACAGTGATCTATGCATACTTGCGGCGCATCCTGTGCGCAGGGTCGCGGCACATGCGGCGCAGAGCGCACGCGCACGTGATGCAGCGCATAAAAAAATTCGGGAAGGGCAGGGTGTGATGACCAAACACGCCCCCTCCCTTCTAAAAATTCGAGTGCAAACAAAAAAAAATTGAGGCCACGTTAAGCCTAAAAATTGGGTGTGCATGTTCTATTTTCCAATCTCTTTTCCGAAGGACCCTTGCAGAAAATTGGCAAGAGCTCATCATGAAGCAGAGATGGTTGTTGAAGTATGAGTAAGGCGTGGGCAGGCCGAATATATGCTCTGGATTTGAATTCAGGTCTGTGGAGCAGTTATGGGTTACTAACTTCGCTAGGCCAGATCTCTCCACGCGATTCTTTTTTTTTTGTTTTTCTGTTCTTAGGAATAGGTGGAGTGGCCCTAAATCTCGGTCCACTACTTCATGCACAAAAGACAACATATGGCGGCGTATGGTTCCATGTTCTAGCGGAATATTCATTCTAATTTTGCACATTCAGTGAGAAGCTCTGAGAATCACGTGTAGAGCCCAACAGGGCCTGGCTAAGTTAGCAACCCATAACTGCTCAAACATAGGCCTGAATGCGAATTCACACTATATATTCATGGCCCGCTCTTGCTTCTGCAAATACGGTGCCCGCCCCTGCTTGGTGATAGGGCCTTTGCTTACTGAGTGGAGGGACCCCTCGAATTCCTTGCAGTGACCCTCCTTTTTACGTTAAAGAGGACCTTGCAGTGACCCTCCTTTTTAAGTTAAAGAGGACCTTGCAGTGACCCTCCTTTTTACGTTAAAGAGGACCTGCACTCTCTCTCTCTCTCTCTCTCTCTCTCTCTCTCTCTCTCTCTCTCTCTCTCTCTCTCTCTCTCTCTCTCTCTCTCTCTCTCTCTCTCTNTCTCTCTCTCTCTCTCTCTCTCTCTCTCTCTCTCTCTCTCTCTCTCTCTCTCTCTCTCTCTCATCTATAAAGACAACCCCTAAAAATAAAAAAATAAAAAAATGCTCGAATCATTGGCGCAGCGCTAATTTGCGCAAGGCGCATGGCGCACACGCACCCCATGGCACACCGCACAAGTGCGCCGCAAGTATGAGTCAATGTGTTGTCTTCCATCCCATTGGGATCATGTTGGAGCTGATAAGAGGAAATTGAAATGCATTTTCTTACCAGGGTGCCTTGTGGCTTTTGGGTTAACTCTTGTGGGTGGCTTAATGGTCCATTCTGTGCGCTTCTGTCATTTGAGTGTGGCTTTGACAACTTGCCCTTCCTGCACCTCCTGTCATCCCTCCTTCGATTTCCCTGTCACACTCTCCCCCCATCCTTCTCTTGCCTGCTCTCAAAGTATCGCTGTGTGTGCACATGATTGTTGCAGGTGGATCTTCCAGGCAAAGTGAAGTCAATACAACATAGAGATGTTGGGAAAGACCTCTCCAAAGCTCAGGTGAGGGTGTAAGACTGCACCTGGCACTTTTCCTTTGCGTCTTTGATGCGGTGCTTGTTGTATCGTCTGTGTTATGTGTTATGATCCTGGTGAATTTGCAGTGCGAGACAACTTTTGAGACGACGCAATGTCTACCATCTCAAGAAGTGGGGAATAAAGAAGAAGCAGAAACATCAAGGAAAGAAGAAGAAGAAGAAGAAGAAGATGAAGAAGTGCACAAGATTGAACCGACCAGTGTTGTCCTCTCGTCCTCTTGCTATCATCAATCTCATCATATAATCTTCTCTTGCTCTTGTAAACAACTAGATACACTAATAAATGAATGAATGAACAAGAATCAATGTCCGCATAATACCCTCACTGCCAGCTCTCAAAGAGCTCTCTGTTAGGCCTCACTATCACCAATCTCCTCAGGGATACATATGTAGATATAGCAGCTCACCCATGTCTTGTAACCGACAATGCACTAATATCATGCCTCTCCCATCTCATTCCTCCATAGCCACACTTCTGGATGACCTCCATGCGCAACCAGTATCCCAACAGGGACCTTCGAGATGCAGTGCCGACCAAGGAAGTGGAAATGAAGGTCCACCATAGCCAAAGGTATGTCTCTCTTCTCGGGCCCCTCCTTCCTCGTTGTCTTCCTCTTCCACCTACCTGCATAACCTAGCTTGTGGTTCTTCTCCCTCCACCTCCGTAGCTTAGGCCTACTGCTTTCTACTGCTACTCCGTGGCTATGCAGGTCTTCTGCCTCACCCTTAGCTCCTTCAACCCAGAACTCTTGCTAAGTCTCCTTGCAGGGCGAGCAGCAGCATGACTGCTGCGTGAATGCCCATGCTACTCATCGCATGGAATATTATACTCATTGCTCTCATCCTCCAGTACCTCTACCCGGGCGCTCTCGGCCTGTGCAGGCGCACAACGTCCTACTGGGAGTTCCTGCCTTTTGGCATGAGCATCATTGCAATTCGCCTATGGGTTTTCACCTATTATCTACCTACATTTGGGCCTTGGACCATCATGACCTACTTGGAAGCGACCAGACCTTTCTAGGCTTACTAGAGTTGCTGGAAAATGCTACCGCGTCCCTGTCGGATTCTACTTTTGTCGAGTTTTGTCATTATTCCTGTAGAATTTCCTCTGAGTCCATCTGGTGTCCAATCTGAATCCTACCCTTGTTGCTATATCTGTTACTGCTCTACCCCTCCAGGACAAAGACAACGCAGCATGAGAATAGAGTTAGCTCATGGACACAGCTAGCATCACGTAGACTCTAGGACATACAAGCAATACAGCAAAACAAACACCGACTTGGAAATCTCCGCAAATCAGACCAACAGACAGCATTACTAAGAAAAATGCAGGAATCTCAGACTGCATCTGTTTAGTTGTGTGATCCTTGTGCAGGCACATCAACTGAAACGCTGCTAGGAATGCTCTTGCCTGTTAAACCTTGAGGGACTGTCTCTTTCTCATAGCTACGATCCGGACAGTGACCGGTGTCCGGCGTCCGGTCCAGGTTTCCGGATCCTGGTCCGGGTGGTGGGAAAATGGGGGGTAGTCCAAATTTTTTTCAGGCGGCCCAGGTCGTTTTCTTCCATTTTGGGCCGCTGTGGAAAAATGCTGGGCGTTTTTTTAAGATTTAGATGTGGCATCCAGACAGGACCGGACGGAGGCCCTAAGTTTTATTTTCCCGCCCTGCACTCGTTTCAAAGTAAACGAACTGTGCACTGTCAGAAGCGCCCGTATCTTCCCAGGATAGGCTGCTTCGTACGTTACTACATTTGCCCCCACGTTGCCCCCCAAAACGAAGAAAGTCTGGAAAAAAAACGAAAAAAGATCCTACTTTCAAAAAGAAAACAGCGAAAAAAAAAAAAAAAAAAAACAGCACCTGTCCGAACGGGCGCCTGCAACGACTCTGGGGCTTTGGGCCTGGCTGCACTACTCACCAAATGCGAAATGAAAATGAATCTTCTGCTACAACATGGAAAGATACACCACCACATTTTCTGTTCGTAGCAGATAAGGTCATTGATGAAGTCACCAAACTGTTTTATCTCGTTGCTTGATGCCACCCAAGTTGAGTGAGAAGTTTCAGTTAAACTATTTT